CTTCATGGCGGTAGGCCATACGTATGGCATATGGTAGTAAAATTACATGATATAGAGACAAATCATTATGTCTCCATTATTAGTTTTCATACATTGCAATGCATGGGAAGTACGTCGGGCGAAATATGAGATTGGTAGCGAACATGAACAGGTAACGAAAAGTCTCTCTCAGGAAACTGTATTATATTCTGTATTCTTAAAAGTAAATAAATAAAATAAAAATAATTACACCTAAAGTTCTCAATTCATCTAGACATTGATTGTGGAATATCAGTTTAAAGTGCTGGTTTACCATTGTTCTCTACCTTTTATTCAATAAACATAATTTGTTTACACTCCGCTCCATTTGAATGAGTTCCGAGAATTGTTTATATAAACATTAGCGCACGATAGGTGGTTGGATTACGTAATGACTAGCATACGTGGGGGATGTCCAGCTGTCACGTCAATCCAATACATTTCACGTTTTATTTCATGAAATTATTGTTTATCGAAGTTCATATTCATCAGGCCGTAATATCGATCCCCGTTTGAATTGAACGGGGGATCGATCTGAGGACGGTCTACGGGGACCGTGACATAGACACTCTAAGTGGCCACTAAAAAAATTCGTACGCAGTCTATACACGGCTTTATGTACAGTGTACTTCGAATTTAATAGTTACCAATCTTGACAATAATAACAGGGGGTAAAGTAGAGCCTGTATTAAGTTACTACATCTAATGTTCATAGAAATTTACCTGAATTCTGCACAAATTTTTGCTTTATCAACGTGTACCAATATTTTTATTATCTAATCAGGTATAGATCCGTGTTGAATGGACATAGAAATGTCCGTGTAGAAATGACGTAGCGTCGCGTCTGTTACGTCACGTGTGTGCGGACCTAAAGTAGGTAACTAATTAGATAAATGTACCTTTAGTCGGAAGTGTTACTACTTATTCGCAAATTTCGTTGTACAAAGTATTAGTATCATTAGTTTTTTTCTGATGATACCATACCATACCGGTAATGCGGAGATTGTTAGTAATGGGCATTAATGGCCCCATTGCTAACATGTACTATGTCTGGTCGACGTCCACCCTAACTGGATATCGTTTTGCCTAACCTCGCTAAGGGCCGACCTGACATCATAATTATCCTATCCTCCACTGGTGCCCCGGCATCATATATCGTTAACGCAGCGCTTGCGCCTGCAACAATTATATCCATTCATACAAAAAGAGGATATGCTAACTCAGTGCGCTGATGATTTATATTGCCATATATACATTAGTAAAGCATGTGAGAATGTGATTTCACCAGGAATTAACTATAATATTTTTTAAGATCACTGTTTTTACGTCCAACGGACAGGACATTACCTATTAGGTACTAACAATCCTCTTCCTCCGTAAATTTATATATCAGGCTCCGTGTTTTAAATAATAATCGTATATTTACTATAAAAAATTCTATCAGTTGTTTACTACACATAGTACAAGGTTTATTTTAAAAATATACACAATATCAATCTACTCATACAATGCCATTGAAATTATCACAAGCTGTTTTAGTCAAGTGCTCAAAACAACTAGAATAGTTATTTTATACTTCGTTACCAATATTTACGTACTTTTTAATATATTTTAATTGGTAATATTTTTCTGTCTATTTCCCATACAAAATTTAAATACAATAAAACTACTTTCGCCTATGAATACCAAAATTTCGTGTTAGAATACTAACTTAGGCACATGTTGAAGCTTACATTAATAGAACCAGTAAGGGGTCGCTTTACAACGAGACCGGCATATCAGTCGCCTATTGAACCATGGCCTACTGTACCGGTAATAACTGGACAGCGGCCGCGGCAAGCGGCTCCTGATAACGTTTCTATATTATACCACACAAATCTACTCCCAGTGGCGTAATTCTGCTATTTGCTACACTAATGTGCACCTTATTGCCATTGTTAATTACTTTTGTAAAAAAAATGGGATAAATTTACTTCAAAAAATTGTGGTTAATAAACTCAAATATTTTCAAAGTTGATAAGGGCGTGATGTAAGTATAGACAGCATGTTCGCGGGGGACTGGCAAGCTTATCAGTGCGTTGTCATTCCGAGACATTTTATAAGTAAGCGAAGCGTACGACCGCCATCACTGTCCGTAGCGACCGCGCAGTGACCGGTACTAGTGTTAGCTCGAAGACAGTGAATAAGTGTAGCGATGTTGGCGTTTCCGCAATGGAGATTGGAAATACCCAGCGATGGGTGTAGGATCCAACGGTGGATGCCGGTGGAAAGGTTTGCGCCTTACCTGGCCAGGCCTGTAGCGCTGCCTCCGCTACCCCCTCAGGTGCGAAGAAATACTTTAAAAACCAAATACTATATTTTCTGTGTAATAAAAAATCAGTTTTTTAATAGATCAAACATTTAAAGGACTATAATAATATATTTATTTTCTCCACAAAACACGCATAATATAAAGTGATACAGAGCCTTTGAGGCATGTAAAATTCTATAAATTTATGTGTTTGCTCTTTGCAGGTGGAAGATGAAGATTCATCAGGTGGTTCATCTCCTGAACGGAACACAAATGAGTCGGGTGCGGATGGGGAGACGGTATGCGGATGGCGAGGGTGCGGCGATCGATTCCCGAGCGTGGCCCGTCTATCTGCACATGTAGCACGCGCTCACGCGCACGCACTACGGGATGGACTTTTCTATTGTGGGTGGAAAGGATGTTTGAGGCCACAGAAAGGATTTAATGCTCGGTGCGTATTTAATTTTAATTCGCTTTCTTATTTTAAATACTTCTACAACCTACTACCATATATTTTTAAGATGTTATACGTTAGATGAGATATTAGGGGTTGTATACATATCTTGTATGTAACTTGTGTCCAATTATTTTTCTTACAATAGATAAAGTTTACTCTGTTAATTGCTAATATATCTTTTAACTATTGATAGTGTGACTGTTTTTTGTGAACAACTATTAAAAAAAATCGTATTTTTAAATTCAATGAACTACTTGCAAAAGATGTTCGTATATCTCATGTGACATTTTGGACCTATAAAAATATTGTTACGATTGATAATCGGTTCTTTTACTTGAACATAATATACCTATTGTTTTTATTTTTAATTATTTCAGGATAAATTTACAGCATCACTTTACTGATAAGTTTTCTTTTTGATAAACTACCTATTGCTCTCAAAAGTATTTCTGACCACAATTGGTTCCCATTATTAGAATCAATAGCTGTTTATTAAAAATATCTAAGTAAAAAACTAATCATTTTCTTTTATTTGTCCACAGATACAAAATGTTAGTACATGTACGTACACACACGAATGAGCGCCCGCACATTTGTAACCAGTGCAACAAGAGTTTCTCCAGAGCAGAGAATTTGAAGATACATTTAAGATCCCATTCTGGAGAAAAGCCCTACATCTGCCCTTATGACGTAAGTTCTAACAAGTTAAATGAGCATATTCTTAAATTTAAATTAATATACTATATTTCAACTTACTTATTTAAAATATATGAATGACATGATATTATGTTCACTTTAATGGCAACATTCTGTAAATTAATTTACTGTTAGTTGTCATTAAAATTAATGACAATGTTTAACATAATAACTGTAAAAAAATCACTAATTATAATGGCGAAATTAAACTAGTTAAACTCGCTTATAATTCCGCAAATCACCTTATTACTATTAGCAAATCATTCAACCAAAGCAATGTAATATAGTAATTAAACTTACATTAAAATATATTATTTTTTAACAGGGCTGCGGCAAAGCGTATTCTAACTCAAGCGATCGCTTCAAGCACACGCGTACACATACCGTCGACAAGCCCTATTGCTGCAAAGTGCCCGGGTGCAACAAAAGATACACAGACCCATCCAGTTTGAGGAAACATGTGAAAACCAACAAACACTTCACCACCGAGGAGGCTCAACGTCGCGAGTCATCCGACGAAGTGCACAGCTCAGAAACATTTTCGCCCGCAAGGGAAAATAGCTCCACGTATACTCATGCAGAACGTTCATCACCATTACAAAACCACATAGCGTACAGTCCGATAAGAAATACCATATCACCGACGATACCTCCGTACAACCCCATATTGCCAACGATGGGTACTTCAATCTCCCCACCAGTAGGATACTCGCCTCTGTTAACATATATAAGGCCTGTGGAACCTATATATCCAGTAAGGGTTCCCGCACAAGAAATGTCATATTTGGAGTACACGCAAATGTATGACCACGCACATAGAAGTTATTATTCAAATAACGCCACATATCCAGTATTAAGGCAAAGTGAAAAGATATACACTTATGAGGAACGGCCACAATTCGCTGATGAACCCATGGAGGAAGCAGAAGACAGAGAAAGTTACAGTCCTGTAGAAGAGATGCCTTTGAACTTAATATGCACCAAGCGAATTGAATGCAAACCTATTGAGGATCTCGTCAGACGTGATTTACCTTTAGATTTAAGTACTAAGAGTTAATATTATTTATTAAATTATTTATTTACACCCTTACATGCTATTTCAATTATTTCACAATATTTTTAACAGTACAATATGAAATTAAGGAAAGTCATTGAAGAAAGATTACTTCATAATCCAATACATTTATATCGCAAAAATAAACGCATTATACAAGGTTGCAAGTTTATGGCACTTACTACCACTACTACTAATTATAATTGCATTAGAGTAATTATGATTAAAAAGAGCTCGTAAATTATTCGTTAGAAGTGTAGTCAAATAAACCGTTACACCATATTATTATTATTATTTGCCAATTGTGATTAACTATTACTGACAAGTTTTAACCTTATCACCTATAGAAATTTGAGAAATTCAATACATTTTAATAAATCTAGACAATAGTAGTTTAAGTATATGAAACAAAAGGAGTACGACCCTTTTCCCCACTAGGCACACTGGGTATGTGCCCAGGGCCCAGGGATGAATTGGGGCCCCCTAGTTTAGTCCCTACTCCATTACCAAACCATAACAGATAGCTACTCTACTCTCGCCTGATACAATCAGTCCTAACAAATGCTTACCGACTATGGTCAATTTGTTCGTTTTTGTTATTTTTTTATAAATGTCTAGCAAGAACTTAAACACCTCATCACACGACGACTTTTTAAAATTATTTTTGGCTGGTTTGTTTTGAAGGTATGGCATCCCCATATACATCTCTAGTCATGTTCAAAAATGACTTTGTCTATTCCAAGAAAATAGTGCTTTATTAATATGGTCCCTTTACCTTAATGTGCCCAGGGCCTCTAATAGGTGAAAGACGGCCTTCAAAAAGAGTATTGGTCTTAAGGCACAATGCACTATCTCATACTATCTCTAGGATTATCTATAAAACTGGACACTAAGCATCGTACTAATGAAAGTCCTTTAAATCCCAGTATCAAGTAGATAGGCACTAAGGATAACCAAGTTAAATATGTTCGTTAATATTATTTATTTAAAAAAATCTTCAACAATTTACAATGATCCATTCAACGTTGCAAACAATATTTCACAAACATAAAGTTCTGCCATATGCACCGGCGTAAGATTATTTATAACAATTTGATGTCGACCTTTATTTTCATAGACGGAAACACACTCTCCATATCGAGGTGTCTAACGTCATAATATGAGGTTCAGAAAGAAAGCATGTTCTATATATCCAAATAAGATACAAACATAGTTGTATGGGTCTTAGGCACGCACGAGCCGGGACATGCCATCAGCAATAGTGTTGAGCGCGTCGAGATCTTTCTGAGCTGTATCCAGGAGATGCGCCATACCTCGCTGTTGTAATGTGAGGAATTGCTTCACGTCTTCTTGGGCACCTGTACAAATTACTGTGTTTAACTATCGCAAATCTTATTAATATTATAAATAAGAATATTTGTAAGTATGAATGAACTGTTACTCTTTCATGCAAATGCAAAACTAATGAACGGAATTTGATGAAACTTTATATTAATATAGTTTATGTATAAGCAATAGCAGAATAACACATAGGCTATATATATATATATATATATATATATATATATATATATATATATAACAAATTTCATGTGTTTCACGGGAAACCGCGGACACAGCTAGTACCCTATAATGTATTTAAAAAAATATGAAAATCTTATTTACTAACTATTTATATTATATTATTAAATCATCTTTTAATCTTAAATGTATGAGGTTCAATAAAATAGTTTTAGTCTAAGATTCGAAATATAGAAAATAAAAGTAAAACTATTTTTCGTTATTTTTTGTTGCAGTACTATTTATATGGAGATGCGATGTTTTAATTTATCTACAACAGACCGTTAATAAGTTCCATTTGACATGACGAGTAAGAATAAAATACATCATCTCTTCTTTTAATCCCCAGGATAATTTAACTACAGAATCAAAACACAAATACGTCGACACAAGGAAAGATCAACTATACCGTATAATAATTATTACAGATTTATGCGAAATTGATATAAATAATATCGATGACAGATGATATGATCACTTACCAGGGTCCAGGGAATAACGTTCGTACGCAGCACCTCCGCTAGCGCTTCGTTGAAGCCGAACAGCGCATAAAAGCTCATTCAAACGACCCTGAAACAAAATATATTTAATACTTATTTATATATTAATTAATTTATAATCTCATCAATATATTGTAAAAAAAATAGAGTACAATATATTTTAAATAACTACGACGTCATGCTTCATTTTTACCAAATTGTTCAATTTAAGGTTTTATCAACTTGACATAACTTACAAAGTTATGCAGTGAAATTACAGGATAGGAAGGTATAACATCTTAGTCTTCCGAATTGGAAACACATGACTGGTAACACGCGCGTCACATGATATCGTGATGTACGTGGCACCGCTCATGTACATATATAGACGACGGTTACCACATATCATCAGGTGGGTCGTCAGCTTGTTTGCCATATAAAAATGATGATTATAAGTTGGTCTCTTGTTCGGTCTTCTTGTGTACAAGCACAACACTTGCAGTGAACTTTGATCTTTTATTATATAACTAACTTATTATGCTATTTATAACGTTTTAATGCACCTGTCATAAAATATTTGGTATACATTGAATACAAAGTACAGAGTACAAAAGATAATCTTATCGCGAACCAATCTTCTACTATAGTACAGATTGTTTATCAACACTCAATGCTATAGACCCCCTTACTGTACGCTAAGCTGAATAAGGAAAAACATATATAAAAACATTATATAGTTTGTGAGGATGGTTGTTTGTTACTCTTTAATAGAAATATAATTACTTGAGAGATTTTTATTTATTTATATCGAAGATATTTGAAATTTGTTACATAGATAAATCATTCTAGATTAGCTTTTTAGCCGAATTCACGTAAGTAGCGCCGCGATACGTAGCTAGCATTTCTAGACACTTAAGTTTACATTTCTGTATTAATTAAATATAATAAAGTTTAAAAAAGGCAGTGCAACAACACATTTTAGTTTACTTAAAAAAGTATATTACAAGTTATAAATCTACATACCACTTAACTGTAAAACTCGATACTGATATCAGGGTTTACGTGAAGTTTAATCTTATATCTAAAATTCTCGTATCACAGTTTTCGTTCCCATACTCCTCCGAAACGGCTTGACCGATTCTCATGAAATTTTGTAAGCGTATTGAGTAGGTATGAGAATCGGCCAACATCTATTTTTCATCCCCTAAATGTTAGGGGTAGTACACCTATTTTTTTTTCTTTGTTTTAAGGCAAAACAACGTTTGCTGGGACAGTTAGTTTTCTATATATTCAATTGTTTGTTTTCTGCATATGGAGCAATACTTGTTTTTCTTGACTCCATATTGTCCAATCATACTTTCAAAACTTTGTATGCAAGAAAATCATACGTGAGATCTGCGCTTGCATTATTTAATATTTTATATTAGTGTAATTATGTGACATACAATATACATGATACATAAGGTATTTTATGTATAGTTCTAACATGCATAGGGAATAATGTAAAGTGTGACATTCATGTTCAACAAATTTATTTAGTTTATTACTTATTCAATGTACACTCAAAATAATTATCAAAAGGAATGCTACGAATATTGATTAAGATGACAGAATAGCAAAGGATATAAATTATATAAAAAGATAAACAGATATTTAACATACGCTAACAAGTTCCGTGTAGAAAATTATCAATTTGATAATGATAGCAGACATCTAGATTTTCTAATTAACGGCACTAAAATACGTCTGAGAATTATTACTATAATGATAGGATCGTTATTATGATTGCATATACTACCAAAATATATGTTAATTAGAAAGTTACGTTTCATATGTAATGTTAACATATTCATGTTAAGAAAATGTATATTGACCAGTGATTTAAAGCGTATAAGTGGTATAGACGCTTTAAACCACAGGTCTGGTAACTCATTAAGCTATTTTAGTTAAGTACTTTATATAACTTTACTTCATCCTGATAGATGATCGCTGCGGCGAATATACTGGGCTCACCCTGTAGAAGATAACCATATATAATGGAAAAAAAAGTCCCCACCAATATATTACATATGTAAGTGTAAAATGAACTTCAGATTTAATAATAACATAATTAATATAGTGTCTGCTTAGATCACAAGTTAAGGGTAGTTTAAAATATAATAAAAAATATACATTTCATAATTTCAAAGGTATGAAAATCTTATACGAATGATATCATATCAATTGGTTTTTGAACATTGGCCAGACAATGACAATAGTGTCATGTAGGTAGTAGAATAGCAATAGATAGTTGTTGCACAATTGTAATAATTTATCACATTCAAATATGATTGATTATATCACTACCACGTTTTATAATCATATATTAATAATTATACTGATATCGTTCTTGTCTGGAAGATAGACTGTGGTCGCGGGGTAGACTGGCGATGGCTAGATAGCAAGAAAACTTTGAGACAGTGAAATGAGACACTAGACACAAGACAGGAAAATGAGCAATTATAAAACTAATCTGGTCAGTCTACCAAACGCTGACACCTATCGAGAGTGTTATACTCCAGTCAGCTCAGGAACACGGCTAAATCAAGGTAAATATCTTTTTAGCACAAAGTATTATATAAAGCATTCCGCCTTCCCGTTTCCAAAATTTGTCTTTGGCGAAAATGCTTTGTGCCAAGCCTTAAAAAGTTTGTTTGTTTAGATGAACGTTAGCGTGTACAACCATGTTAGCGTGTAAAACTGTTCTCTTTGGAACAACTAGTTTTAATTTAAAAAATATTTTAGTGTTGGATAGATTATTTATAGAAGAAGGTTATGTAGACTATATAACATCATGATATGAACAATAATAGCTGAATATCAATAAGAAATGTTGATCATAAAAAAGTAGCGCGGGTCAATTTTAAAATTTTAATTCTTTCATTCCTTCATAATTTAATGGCCACGCTCCTGTCGGTCGAACTCTTGCCACTTACCACGATCATCCATCATTGTCTTTAAAATTATTTGTGTTAAAACTTAATTAACAGTATTAATAAACGCACCATAAATACATATTGTAATTTCAGTATACTTCTGTTTCGATAGTTCAGTTGTACCTGTTGGTCTCTTAAACAAAGCTATAATAAACCGGAATGTCAAACATAGATAATTTACGCTAGATAAGAAATAACGGCAGATCTCGGTAACACTGATTGATTGCCGATTATGAAATACCCCTTAAATTGTTACATAAATAAATACATACAATATACCATATCTTGTTGTATTTGTCATAGATAAATAGTTTATATTTGTTCATAGAAAATAATTCATAATTTGTTTACAATCATAAGTTAATCTACTATTATTCCGATTACTATTACGTATTCGTATATATACATATAGGTACGAAGTAATGGCAACGGCTAGTTTCTAACATTACATTGATGTAAAAGTAACGACCAATGTAGTACCCCTACTACCGTTTAGTTACTTTGTACAAGGTACGTACCATTTGCAACTTTGGTTGATTGATACGGTAGAGTAGTCCCGAAAAACATATTGTACGACTTAAACAATTCAATCTGACACCACATGTTTATCGCTCTTTTTATCGGTTTTCATAAAAACACGCACACTAAGTTAATTGCACATATACCTACACCACATAAAGATTTGCGCATTCTAAATGCATAAACAACGACTATCCGACGCAAATGTCACATTGGGTACATATATTTATTTTTGTTCAATTGATTCCGAATACTTTTGAAACTGGACAGATTTATAGATAATTATTTAGATTATTAACGAACATTGAATTATATAAGCCTGTTCGGCTCTGGGAGACAAGCCTTCCACAATCCCTTCCTTATTTATTTATCTTCTTTTGCACACAAAATTGTATACGGACTTAATTCATTAGTTCTAGTCCAGAGCGGCATTGAATCAGATGAGATTCATCAACTACAACTATCAATATTAACTAAGATCTAGAGTACCTATTTTTATTCTTGTTTTGTATATTGTTTTGCATGTTTTATTATGTAGTAACTACTAGCCCCGGCTACGCCCGGATATACATGTAATATATGTATAAACCTTCCTCCAGAATCACTCTATCTATTAAAAAAACCGCTTCAAAATCCATTGCGTAGTTTTAAAGATTTAAGCATACATAGGGACGGACAAACAGGAACAGCGACTTTGTTTTATACTGCTACTGATATATAAAAAAGTAATTCACCGCCATATTGACAACACTCTCTTAACTTTCCTTGCAATTTATTACTTAGATATGAGGACAACGGTCCATTTCGTGACTACTTTATCAGTTATAGTCATTTGTAGTATTTCCTATTAAACTGCTATAGATTCAAATAATAAGGATGTAAATATTTTCTGTATTGACAGACTGAAGCATATAGGTATTATTAAATTTAGATTGAGAAAATTTAGTTCAGCACTAGAAGAAAATTAATGTAAATGATTGAATTTAGCAAATACTATATAGGTCAATGCTAATTGTTGTTTAATGCATCGTAATAGTATGGTGGACCCGTCAATTAATAATACGCGCTAATGGTTTACGCTGGCGGGGCATTAGACGACGATGATAGAATAAGAAAGAAGTCAGGTCAGTCAAGTTCGGTCATCTGGAAATGAGCTCGATAGCTCCAGGGGGCACCGCGTAGATGTCAAACTGTCATCGTGTTTTATTAGCTAAGAAGCCACTAGTCCCCATTACTAACAATCCCTTGGCCCCTACTAATTGGTATTCAGCTAGTCTACTCACTGCCACTTCCATCGTACTTACATCATGTCTGGAAAGCGAGTACGAAAGAAGAATGAACTACCTTAAAGCTTTTTATATCTACTTTAGTATATCTATAATATATACGTAGTAATTGTACTGTAGTGTGCTCAATGTAATCTTTGAATTCACTCTTTTCCAACATGATAATATTACAGTATATTTGATCACAGATTTAACCAGTTCTAACCGGTTCCTTAAAATGTTTAGTGATAAGAGTCTTCAAAGGATTATATCTAAAGATAAGATGACAAACCCAAATGCGAAAATATTATGATAGTGTGTAGGTAATACAG